AGAGAGTGATGAGGCTGAATTGTGGACAGGAACATTTATTTAGTATCTGCTATGTGCCAGGTACCTGCTACATTATTTGCATTATCTCAAATGATTTTCACAGCAACCCTGTGAGGTAGCTACTATTGTTGGCCCACTTTACAGGTGAGAAGACTGAGGCTCAGAGCTGTGAGGTCACTTGCCCAAGGTCACAAAACCGGGAAAGAATGTCTGACTAAGGAATTTGGGTGGGGAGCTACGGACAGGGAGTGGGTTTTGAGTGAGGAAACAGCAGAGTCACTATGAGTAACTCAGGGCTTCAGGGGGTGCGAATCTGGCTGTGGGTTTGGTTGCTAGGACAGAGGAAGTAGGTGTAGGGGAAAGACTGTTGGAAACCCAGCAGGTGCTACAGAAGAGGTATAAGTCCAAACGATAAGACTTGGCCTTTATCATTGAGCAAGGCAGAGGTGGAAAAATTCCTTGTAGTGTATTGAAGCCAAAACAGAGTTAGCATGAGGTTCTCTCTGGATGAGATGATGTTTTAGGGGCTTCTAGTCAGACAGTGTGGGGGTTAAGCATGCAGACACTAGAATTCAACTGGCTGTGTATAAGTCCTGTGCATGGGGTTGGGAAAGACTCATCTCTCCAAGCTTTTCTCACCTCTCATCTACAAACTCCTGATAACAAGACCTCCACCTCACAGGGTGGCTGTGGGATGGAATGAGGTGCTGCACTGGGAAGGTACCATGGCCCAGTGGAGGCTGGTGGGAACTGCCACATACACATTAGGGGGAAATAGGACCAGATCATTGCTGTGCCTTTTTTAAAAATTAACTTTTCATTAGGAATATTTTCAAGCATATGTGAAACTAGAAGAATAGATAATGAACCCCCAGATACCCATCACCAGATTTAAAAATTGTCGAGATGCTTCCGTCCCTCCTTCCCTTTCTCATTTCTATTTCCTCCCCTCCTCTCCCTCTCCCTCTCTCCTCTTTTTTTGCTTCCCTCCCTTCCCCATCCTTCCCCTCCCTTCCCCATCCCTCCCTTCCCCATCCCTCCCCTCCCCTTCCTTCCTTCCTTCCTTCCTTCCTTCCTTCCTTCCTTCCTTCCTTCCATTGTTATTGAAGTATTTTTCCCAACTTTTTCTTGAAAAAGTTGAAACCTTTAGAAAAGTTAAAAGAATGGTACAACATTGAAACAGTGAAAACCATTTCCCTTCTAGATTCACCAGATCTTCACAACCTGCTACATTTGCTATATCAGTCTTTTTCCCGTCTCTCTTTTTCTCTCTATATATAAATATATATTTTTATGGGTACATTTGAAAGGAAGTTGCAAAGTTTATGACACTTGACCCATAAATACCTATAATTAAAGTCTATTAAAGCATATCTCGGACCTCACATCATCTTAGTTGTATGTCTGTAACTCTGAAAAAAGCAAACATTTTCTTTCATAACAGCTAACGAAATTAACAATTACTCGTTTTTCACATAGTACCCTGTTAACATACACATTTCCCCTATTGTCCTTTCAAAAACATTTTTGCGATTGGGTTATCCATCTCTGCCATGCCCACAACTTTCATTCACTTGTTATATTCCTTAAGTCTCTTTTCTAAAACTGAGAGAAAATTTGCACACAGTAGATCTTAAGTGTATAATTCAATGAGTTTTGATAAATGTAGATATCCGTGTAACCTCCACAGTAAAACCTCCCTTATTATGCCACTGACTTGAAGAGATCAGTTCTGTGGAATGTGTCTGCCTCCTCATGGCCTCATTTTAATTCTGTGTTTCCTGTCAACTTCAAGTGCTCTAAAGTCTTGATTCAGCTTCAACTGCCTTTTGGGAGTGAGAAGTTAAAAACATTTCATGGGAAGTGCAGTGTACTTCACAGAGCATCACATCCAAGAGCACAGTGTCATGTTGTCCTCATTCGTCATGTCAGGAGGTAACAGTCTAGGGACAGGTGAATGGGTGGCCAGCGGTGAGTGGACCTGATGGTGTATCGTAAAGATCTTCACCAGCCTTTCACAGAATGGCTTCATCCTTTCATGATCTCTGCCTGAATCACTTATTTCATTAGGGTTTGCAAAAGTGGCAGTGTCTGATTCTAATTTATTAGGGGAGATTCTTTTGTAAAAAAGAACTTTACCTCATAATCAGAGCTTCAGTTTGCTTACCACATGTCCTATTATGGTCATATTTGAAGTGGTTTTGGTTTTTGAAATGGCCAGTACAAGCAGACCAATATTTAAATATGTCAGGTCAGACAGTAGATGTGTTTCTTTTTCCTGTTTTGTTCTCAGATGAGTACTAGTTAAAGTTATTCCCAAGAAGGTATAGAAGATGGAGCCAAAGCAGTGAGTGTCCAGTGGATGAAAACAAGGAAGGATTTTCTAGAGAGAGAGCTGCTTCCAAAAGTTGCGAGCCTCTCCACCAGCTCCAAGTACAGACAGCCGCTTGGTGGAGGTGTTATAGCGGGGAATTGTCTCTTTACCAAAGGCAGGAGTCCAGCGGTCTCCAAAACTTCTAGCCTTTCCAAATCCCAGGGGCAGATGATGAGGAAATGGGAAGCTCTTGTTGAATCTGAATATGGAGGGAGATTCTCTGGGCTGATTATAGGTTGGCAGCATCTGTGGTCTAGAAGCTGGGAATCCCATATGAGCTGAGGGGTGGGAAGCGGGTGACCAGGAGCAGGGGCCACTGGGACTTCCTATATCTTTTTATTAAAGGATCACGTAAACGTAAATCATAATGTACAAGTCAACAAATTTTCAAAAAATGAATATGCCCTTGTAACCTGCACCCAGATCAAGACACAAAGTATTTCCACTTTCCCCATATCCCCATTTGCCCCTTCCAGTCCTTACCTCCTCCCCAGGGATAGCCATTCTAAGCTAAATTCTAATAGGCTAGATTAGTTTTGCCTGTCTTTGAATTTTATACAAACATGCTCTTTCATATCTGACTTCTGCCACTCAACATTCTCTCTGAGATTCATCCACATTGTTGTGTGGCTGCAGTTCACTCATTCCTGATGTGTGGTCCTACTGTATTAACAGACCACAATTTAATTTCCATTCTACTGTTAATGGACGTTGGGTTGTTACCAGTATTTTACTATGACAAGTAATGCTGGTGAGAGATTCTAGTACTTGTCTTTTGGTGAACATGTACGTACATTTTAACATTGAGTGAATACCCAGTGGTGGAATTGCGGAGTTATAATGTATGTGTATGTTCATCTTTAGTAGATATAT